CCTACCGGTGCCCCCCACTCCCACCCCATAGCCCCTGCCAGCCCAGCCCTGCCGGTGCCCCTCACTCCCACCCCACAGCCCCTGCCAGCCCAGCCCTGCCGGTGCCCCTCACTCCCACCCCACAGCCCCTACCAGCGCCCCTGACATCCCACCTGCAGCCCCTGCTGGCCCAGCCCTGGGCTCCCCCCTCTCCCAGCTCTGCCTGTAACTCACCCCGGTGACCAGTCTCTGATTCTCACTCGGCCTCCTTTGCTCGCTGGGTCTCCGCAGTGAGGGGCCGGCTGCTCCCCCCCAGTTTCCTTTTCAGTCTCTGGGTGTGGACACTGGGCAGGGCTGAGGGCTCCTGGTTCCTCTCCCCTGGAGGTTGCTAAAGGAGCCCTTGCAGAAGCAGAAGATGCGTACTGTTATCGGCAGGAACTGCCCTGTTTCCTGCCCAGCCCTGGCGGAATCAGACAGCGAAGGGCTGAGTCCCTGCTCCCCCTCCCTTTTCCCACAGGCCCCCCTGTTCTCGGGGGCTGCCTTCCCCACCCACAGGGCAGAGTACTGGGCACCTGTCAGCCGACGGTCAGGGCAGTGTGTGTGTGTATGTTTTTGAGAAAAGGTTTAACGTCCGTGTCTTTACTGCTAGGACCGGGGTCCCATTGCAGGGAGTGGCCAGCAGGCCAACAGACGCCCTGTTATATAGGAAGAGCTTATTACACCTTAGATTTTAGCTGCTAGAACACAAAGTTCCTTCGCAGCGGGCAGCCTAGGAAAGGCTGAAAGGTGCCCCAACGGATCTTGTCACCTGAGAGTGACACAGATCCAAACGCCTAAGCTTTCTTTATGTCTGTTCCTTTTATGACCGGCTGTAGTTCTTTTAAATTGTGCTTGGTTCTGTTACAGCAACTGAAGGAGTCAGGTTAAAGCTTAAACAGTTACAGGTTTATTAAAAGACTTATAAAAGCATATGGTTACAATGGCTATTGCTCTATTTCTTAAATGCTAACAAATACAGATTTTAAAAATGGTTACAAAGAAAATAAAGATAGAAAATAGAAATAATGGTACCAAGTGACAGCTTAATCTTTAAAGAGCTCTAAGTAGTAAGTGTGCTGCTGGACTCATCTTTATACCCCTGGGGGCCCGTATTCTCTTTCTTATCTTAAGATGCCAAATTTTACTGGTCTGTTTTGTGGCGCCAGTTCTTACAAGCAGGTTACAAGTTAATTTACACTTATAAGAGAGGAAGATAGCTAAATTAGGACTGCCGGATGTTCTTGTTGGGCGGGAGATTCCTCCCCCCGCGGATGGTTGTGTGTTCGTATCAATATGGGTTAAGTCAAGGGCACGATGTACAGCCTCTTAGTTTGACCACCCTCTTATCTCTGCTTACTGCTGGTCACGGTCACTGAGCCAGCCTATCTAAACCTCTTGCTTCAAGGTTTTCAAAGAATATGCTGATTTCCTGCTCTTATGTGCCCTGCATGGTTTTAAGCAGACAAAGATGGATGTAAAATGGGGGTTCACGTCTGGCTACAGCACCCCATAAGCAGGGCCGGCCTTAGGCCGATTCGCCCCATTCCCCTGAATTGGTCCCCGCGCCCTGAACCCAGAAGTGTGCCGGGCGCTATGGGCGGCGAGTTGATATTCAGAGCCGGGGGCCCTGCTCCAGCAATATTTGGAGCTGGATCTCTCCCCCGGCTCTGCCTGGAGCAGGCCCCAGACCCCACCTGCCGCCTCCCCCCCCCCCCCCCGGGTC